GATGCTGGGTGGGATGTGGGTCAGGGTGCAGGAACTTTCTCTCTGGTTTTCCCTCTGATTCTCTTCCCTTCCCCACCCAGATCTTTTTGCTATTTAGACTACTGTTTAGATTCTTGCCTTTGTTTTGTGGTGGTGGTGGTGTTGTTGTTGTTGTTGTTGTTGTTGTTGTTTTGAGACAGAGTCTCACTCTGTTGCCAAGGATGGAGTGTAGTGGTGCCATCATGGCTCACTGCAGCCCCTACCTCCTGGGCTCAAGGGATCTTCCTGCCTCAGCATCCCAAGTAGCTTGAATGGTAGGCATGCGCCACCAAGCCCGGCTAATTTTTCATTGTTTTGTAAAAAGAGTCTCCTTATGTTGCCCAGGCTAGTCTCAAACTCCTGAGCTCAAGCAGTCCTCCCGCCTCGGCCCCCCAAAGTGCTGGGATTAGATATGAGCCACCACACCCTGCCTAGATTCTGGTCTTGAAAGCTATCAATACTTCCCTCTGTTTTCAGTTTCAGAAAAAAAGCTGGGTTATCCTCCTGCTTCCCAGCCAGGCAGCTAGGGGCCACCGGTTACAGAACATTGTGGGCTTGGCCGGGCGGGAGTTGGGGGGACGGGTGGGCAAGGTTAGTACTCAGCATTCTATATCCTGCCACTTATTGAAAGGTATTTCTATTAAGAGGTATTTACCAAACCTCAATAATAAAAATAAAATACAAGTGCTACAGTGATTCATAACACAATAGAATCACACCACGTTGTGTTACAAATTCACTTCTTGCACAACCCACGATTTCCTCATGAGGTGAACATGCAGAAGGTAAAGGCTGAGCCCTCTGATAGGCCTGTGGGTCTGCAGGGCACCAGCCTTCCGACCAAGGCCCATCCATGACAAGTGCAAATAAACACACAGGGACAGCAGGAGGAGCTGGGTTGAGGCTGGCAGAGACACACACGATCGCATGCTGGTGGTCTCCATGAGACTGTTGTATGCCCCAAACTTGCTGTTACTGTTTTGTTTATTGCCATCTTTATATAACCAAAATCTTTTCTACTTCTTTGGTTAAAGTTTTTTTTTTTTTTTTTGAAATGGAGTCTCACACTGTCACCCGGGCTGGAGTGCAATGGTGCTATCTCCACTCATTGCAACCTCCGCCTCCCAGGCTCACATGATTCTCCTGCCTCAGCCTCCCTAGTAGCTAGGATTACAGGTGCCCACCACCACATCCGGCTTATATATATATATATATATATATATATATATATATATATATATATATAGTAGAGATGGGGTTTCACCATATTCACTAGGCTGGTCTTGAACTCCTGGCCCCAGGTGATCCATCCACCTTGGCCTCCCAAAGTGCTGAGATTACAGGCATGAGCCACTGTGCCCGGCCATTCTTTCGCTAAATTCTAAGCATTTAAGGCATCTTAGAAGCACTTCCACGGAACCCTGGAACATCTAGGAACCCAGGTGGAAACCATCAGACTAAACCATGAATAGCACTTATCTCTGGGTGATGAGATCTCTGTTTTGTTTTTGTGCTTATCTTCACTTTCTGCCTCATCCATAATGAAACTCGTGTTGTTTTGTTTAAGCTGAAGAGAAATCAGTGTTTTAAAGGACTTCTGACCTGGTGAGTCCTGCTGTTCTCTGCCCTCCCACAGACTTTGCTCCCTTCTGACCGTGAAATGTTTGCCTAAAGTTACAAGGGGTAAGAAGTGCTGCAGAGGGTAGCTGACCTCCACTCCACCAGCCTCACCATTTTCCAGGCTCAGTGATGGAACCATAGAGAGTGTTGCAGTCATCACAACTGGAGTGATTCCAGGAATATCATTGAAAGAACTCCCCCAGTAAAAGTAATCAAACACTGACAGTTGTTCCCAATGAAGCAGGGTGAGTCCTTTGGAAATTTTAGAAAGCAGTAAAGCAACCCAACAAGGGTCAGGAAACCCATGCACCCAGAAGACGTCACTGACACTTAGCAGGTAGCGGCAACCAGCAGCAATGAGCTCCCTTCCCCATTCCCCTGTCCTACCTCATATTACTCAAATCAGCCAATTATGGCCCAACAAAGGCCTAATGCTCTCCACTTGCCACTGTCTTTTCTCGATAGCACCCACCTGACCTGTCACCTCTCAGAAATGGGACAAGCTCTCAATTGTCAGTATTCACTGACCACCCAAACCTGCTGTGGCCCCCAGCTAAGCAGTACCAAATTCAGACATTTACAAATGTGCTTGGTGGAACAGAAAGAGTTCAGAAGTACTCACCGAGTGATATTGCTGCACCAGCCATAGGAAGCAAGGGGACAAGCTAGCTGTCCCTTCGAAGCCCTACTTGATACCCTACCTTTCAGCATTTCTTTTTTTTTTTTTTTTTTTTTTTTTTTTTTTGAGATGTGGTTTCACTCTTATTGCCCAGCCTGTAGTGCAATGGCATAATTTTGGCTCACTGCAACCTCTGCCTCCTGGGTTCAAATGATTCTCCTGCCTCAGCCTCTCAGTAGCTGGGATTAGAGGCATGCACCACCACACCCAGCTAATTTTTGTATTTTTAGTAGAGACAGGGTTTCACCATGTTGGCCAGGCTAGTCTCAAACTCCTGACCTCAGGTGATCCACCAGCCTCGGCCTCCCAAAGTGCTGAGATTACAGGCATAAGCCACTACACCCAGCCACCTTTCAGCATATTTTATGCCTACTTTGGAATGGGATCTATCATCTAAGAGCTTGTGAAAAGCTTCTTGTCTACCTTCATGGAGTAATTTGTATACATATTTCCCAACCACATGTTAGAACACTGGATCAGTACCAGGCTGGTCTCGAACTTCTGACCTCAAGTGATCCACTCACCTTGGCCTCTCAAAGTGCTGGGATTACGGGCATGAGCCACCATACCCGCTTATTTTCAACCTTTCTGAAAACACTTACCATAGGTGGTCACTTGCTTGAGCTCAGCATGGAGGTGGGTGTTGCCTAAGAATACTCTGAAATCTTGTTTCTTTTAATAGGTGAGTTAAGCCTATTTCAACATCTATTCATATGTCAAATAGATTAGGGTTAGTTCTATCATTGTAACATGTTCGATTTTTGTTTAGATATAGTTTTTTAAAAACATTCACTATGTAGTCTATTGTCCTTGTTGCTGTGAATAATTCTTTCCAAATTTCAATAGGTTTTCATTTTTGCTCTGTTAACTTTATAATAAAACTTTACAAAATACCTCTAGTTATCTATTATTCAATAAATGTCTATTCGTGCCTAGGAACAATGAAATAATAAGCACATTTCCTCCTTCTCTCTTCCTCCCCTCTCCTACCAAAGATAACATCTTTCTCTGAGTTTAATTTTGTACTATTAAAAATGTGTATGCTTCTATTACTTGGTTTGTCAGTCTTGAATAATATTTTTTGACTTTCAGTTACTACAGACGTAGCAATCAGTAACCTTAATCTACTTTTCGCCTACTTTCCCCTTCCTCCACCAATATTTGTTCATTGCGTTTATTTACATATTGTCAGGATGTGTCATCTTTACATTCATTTCAGTCACTCTAATGTGTGGAATTATTTTCGCTTTAGTCTACATTACACATATTCAAAGCTTGCTGCCAGTCTTTTTTCTATAATGTCCTCAATTATCTCTTAGTTTGCTGGCATCCATCCTCTGATTGTTTCCTCAAGAAAGGTTCAAAGAATTGACAGCCCCAGAATTATTTTATGATCAAGGCTATCTGTAGACTTTCCGGTGGAAGGATAATTTGTCTGGATTTAAATTCCATGGGTAACACTTTTTTTTCCCTTGGGCATCTTTTTAAGTATTGCACAACCTTCTTCTGACATTGAATGTTGCTGCACAGAACTCTGAAACAAGCTTGCTCCCCTGCCCCAGCCCGCTCCCCCGCCCCCTGCTCTCAGTGACTTGATCATTTTGCTTAGTTATCTTTGAAGTTTAATAACTACTAGGACTTATCTCTAGGTTGGCTCTCCTGCATTAATTTTCTCTGATATATGATATAAATTAATGTCTCTATTTCAGAAAATTATCTTTTTTGTCACTTGCTATGGTTTTTTAATTGCCTATTATTTGGACGCCTTCCATTTTATCTTTATTTCTCTGATACTTTGATCTGAGTTCTGCCAAACCATGCTTCCTCTCATTTCATTATCTCACTATCTCATCCCTGTTATTTTTCCCTTCAACTTTTCATTTTGAAAAATTGCAGAGCTACAGACATGTTGAAAGAGTAATACAATGAGCAGTCATATACCATATACTTCACACAGATTCACCAGTTATCATTTTGCTATATATGCTTTCACTGTCTCATACTCACAAACAACACATACACACATTTTTTTCCAAATCATTTTTAAATAGATTGTAGACATCAGAACACTTCAAACATAAAAACTTTAGTCTGCATCCCTAAAATAAAAACATTCCACTATATAACCCCTATCTTAGACCATTTGGTTTGCTAGAACAAATTACCATAGACAGGATAGCTTGTAAGCAACAGTTCCAGAGGCTGGAAAGTTCAAGATCAAAACACCCACAGATTCAGTGTCTGACGAAGGCCTACTTTCTGGTTCACAGGTCGTAACTTCTTGCTGTGTCCTTACATGGTGGAGGGGGCAAGGCAGCTCTATGGGTCCTTTCTCATAAGGCCACAAAACTCATTCATGAGAGCTCTGCCCCCAGGACCTAATCACCTTCCAAGGACCCCACCTCGCATCACATTGGTGATTAGGTTTCATCACATGGCCCTTAGGGGGACACAGCGGTCAGAACACAGCAACCATAATACTAATTAATAATAATTTCATAATATCATCTAATATATAATCTATACTCTAATTTCCCCAACTACCCCCCAAAATATTTTTAAATACAATTCCAACCCAGTATCCAATTATATGTTGCATTTGCTTATGTCTCCTTATTCTCTTTTAATCTAGACTAGATCTCCAACTTCTGTTATGATATTTACTTCTTTAAGGGTACATGCCAGGATTTGCTTAGAGCAGGGGTATTGAAGAGTGGCTCCTCTGTTTACAATACACCCAAAAGGAATCTGGGATCATTGTGGCAAGGGGCACAAAATTTGTGGCCTCCCTAAGTGTGAAAAGAAAAAAAAGAGAGAATGCACGCCAGTTGTTCTGTAAAATATCCCATAGGCTAGATTCATCAGGTTATTTCTTAATATTTCATTTATTTATCTAGCACTTGTATTTCTGATAAAGTGCCAGCTAGGTCCAAAGACTTGATAAGATTCAGAGTAAATATTTTGCCTATAATGACATTGTGAATTTCATATTGCATTCCATCAGGAGGCACATGAGTTTAGCTGTCTTGATATTATTAATTCCAAGTTTGACTCCTTGGTTAAAATGGGTAACTGCCCCTTGTCACAATGATCCCAGATCCCTTTTGGGTGACAGAGTGAGACCTTGATGCTAAAAAGAAAAAGAAAAAAAGGGCTGGGTGGCTGGGCTCAGGGGCTCATGCCTATAATTCCAGCACTTTGGGAGGCTGAGGTAGGAGAATCATGTAAGCTCAGGAGTTTGAGACCACCTGGGCCACATAGTGAAGGCTTATCCCTACAAAAAATAATTTAAAAAATTAGCTGTGTGTGGTGGCACATGCTTGTAGTCCTAGCTACTTGGGAGGTTGAGGTGGGAGGATTGCTTGAGCCCAGGAGATGGAGGCTGCAGTGAGCTGTGATTGTACCATCACCTCCAACCTGGGTGATGGAGCAAGACCCTGTCTAAAAAACAAAAAACAAAATCCAGAAAGGTCTCACTCTGTCACCCAGCCTAGAGTGCAATGGCACAATCAAAGCTCACTGCAGCCTCAACCTCTCAACATCCTGTGTTCAAGCGATCCTCTTGTCTCAGTCTCCCAAGTAGTTGGGGACACAGGTGCATGCCACCACACATGGCTAATATTTTATTCTTTGTAGAGATTACGTCTTACTATGTTGCCCAGGCTGGTCTGGAACTGCTGGACTCAAGCATTCCTCCTGCCTCAGTCTCCCAGAGTGCTGGGATTATAGGCATGAGCCACCATGTCCAGCCTCTACAGCCACATTTATACCATAAGTCACTACCATATTTTTTAATGGCTATATTCTTTTAAATGGGCCATAACCAATCACCTACTAATTCTTAGGTTATTTCCAATAGTTCGCTATTACAAAGCAATGCTGCAGTGAAAATCTCTTTACATAGATCCTAAAGCAATTTTTTAGGATAATTTTCTACAAGCAGAAGTCTGGTGTCCAGAGCAATGGCTGATTGAAGGTTTTTTATGCCCCTTCAGAATCTGGGAAAATAGCTCACTTTTGCCAGATGCTAAATTAAAATGCCCTTTAAGTAAATCTACTCAGCCACCACTACCCCCATGATTATTTGGATGTCGTGTTTGATGTGTTGCTTGGTGCATCCAGCCTGTGAAAGAACAAGTCTAGGCCAGTTTGGAAAAAACATGCAATCACAGGAGCTTTTCCAGTCAAAGCTTTCAGGTCTCAAAAAGCAGGTTAACTAGGGAGATAGGATGAGGCAAAAGGAGCAGGTCAGAAGAGCAGCTGGGGCCCAGAACCAGGCTGGGTGTGTATACCAACTGTACCACTCACTAGCTGTGTAAAATGGGCAGATCATTTAACCACTCTATGCCTTTTCCTAACCTATAAAATAAGGATAGCAATAGCATCTTATCTCATAAGGCTATTGTGAAGACTAAATAAGAAATATGGGCATTTAGTACTATGCATTTCCCTCTTAACGCTGCCTTAGCTGTGTCCCAGAGATTCTGGTATGTTGTATCTTTGTCCTCATTAGCTTCAAATAACTTGATTTCTGCCTTAATTTAATTATTTGCCTGAAAGTCATTCAGGAGGAGGTTGTTTAATTCCATGCAAATGTATGGTTTTGAGCAATTCTCTTCATACACAATTCTGTTTTTATTGTGTCGTTGTCCAAGAGTGTAATTGGTGTAATTTTATTTATTTATTTATTTTTGCATTGGCTAAGGATTGCTTTATGTCCAATTCTTTGGTCTATTTTAGTGTATGTACCATGTGGCAATGAAAAGAACGTATATTCTGTTGTTCTGGGGTGGAGAGTTCTACAGATGTCTACTAGGTCCATTCAGTCAAGTGGAGTTCAGGTCCTGAGTATCTTTGCTTTGATGCTTCGTCTTGCCTTGATGATCCATCTAATACTGTCGGTAGGGTATTGAAGTCTCCCTCTGGGAGTCTAAGTCTCTTTATAGGTCTCTCAGAACTTGCTTTATGCATTAGTCCCCTCTGGGAGATGCAGCAACAAGACATTACCTGCAGAGAGCAGCCCTATTCAGACACTGAATCTGCCAGCACTTTGATCTTAGACTTGCCAGCCTCCAGAATTATAAAAATAAATTTCTATTATTTATTTTTTTAAAAAGAACTTGCTTTATGAATCTGGGTACTCCTGTGTTTGGTGCATCTCTATTTAGGATAGTTAGGTCTTCTTGTTGATTCAAACCCTTCACCATAATGTAATGCCTTCTTTGTCTTCTTTCATCTTTGTTGACTTACAGTCTGCTTTGTCTGAAGTTGGGATTGCTTTTTTCTGGTTTCCATTTGCTTGGTGGGTTTTTCTCCATCCCTTTATTTTGAGCCTAGGAATGTCACTGCATATTAAATGGGTCTCTTGAAGACAGCACGCTATTCACCCTTGCTTCTTTGTCCAGCCTGCCACTCTGTGCCTTTTTTTTTTAATTGCACTTTAAGTTCTGGGGTACATGTGCAAATCTTGCAGGATTGTTGCATAGGTACACACACGCCATGGTGGTTTGCTGTTTCCATCCCCCTGTCACCTATATCAGGCATTTTTCCCAGTGTTATCCCTCCCCAACCTCCCCACCCTCCAGTGTCTCTCCCCTAGCCCCTACTCCCCAACAGACCCCAGTATGTGATGCTCCCCTCCCTGTGTCCATGTGTCCTCATTGTTCAACACCCACCTATGAGTGAGAACATGTGGTGTTTGGTTTTCTGTTCTTGTGTCAGTTTGCTGAGAATGATGGTTTCCAGATTCATCCATGTCCCTACAAAGGACACGAACTCATGGTTTTTTATGGCTGCATAGTGTTCCATGGTGTATATGTGCCACATTTTCCTTGTCCAGTCTATCATTGATGGTCATTTGGGTTGGTTCCAGGTCTTTGCTATTGTAAACAGTGCCACAATGAACATATGTGAGCATGAGTCTTTATAATAGAATGATTTATAATACTTTGGGTATATACCCAGTAATGGGATTGCTGGGTCAAATGGAATTTCTATTTCTAGATCCTTGAGGAATCACCACACTGTCTTCCACAATGGTTGAACTAATTAACACTCCCATCAACAGTATAAAAGTGTTCCTATTTCTCCACATCCTCTCCAGCATCTGTTGTCTCCAGATTTTTTTAATGATCGTCATTCTAACTGGTGTGAGATGGTATCTCAGTGTGGTTTTGATTTGCATTTTTCTAATGACCAGTGATAATAAGCATTTTTTCATATGTTTCTTGGCCTCACAAATATCTTCTTTTGAAAAGTGACTGCTCATATCCTTCACCCACTTTTGAATGAGTCTGTGTTTTTCTTGAAAATCTGCTTTAGTTCTTTGTAGATTCTGGATATCAGCCCTTTGTCAGATGGCAAACATTTTTCTCCCATTCTGTTGGTTGCCAGTTCACTCTAATGATTGTTTCTTTTGCTGTGCAGAAGCTCCTACGTTTAATTAGATCCCATTTGTCTATTTTGGCTTTTGCTGCCATTGCTTTTGGTGTTTTAGTCATGAAGTCCTTGCCAATACCATGTCCTGAATGGTATTGCCTATGTTTTCTTCTACGGTTTTTATGGTGTTAGATCTTACGTTTAAATCTTTAATCCATCTGGAGTTAATTTTGGTGTAAGGTGTAAGGAAGGGGTCCAGTTTCAGCTTTCTGCACTTGGCTAGCCAGTTTTCCCAACACTATTTATTAAACAAGGAATCCTTTCTCCATTGCTTTCTTTGTCAGGTTTGTCAAAGATCAGATGGTTGTAGATGTGTAGCATTGCTTCTGAGGCCTCTGCTCTGTTCCACCGGTCTATATCTCTGTTTTGGTACCAGTACCATGTTGTTTTGATTACTGTAGCCTTGTAGCGTAGTTTGAAGTCAGGTAGCATGATACCTCCAGCTTTGTTCTTTTTGGTTAAGATTATCTTGGCTATGCAGGCTCTCTTTTGGTTCCATATGAAGTTTAAAGTGGTTTTTTCCAGTTCTGTGAAGAAGGTAGCTTGATGGGGATACCATTGAATATACAAATTACTTTAGGCAATATGGCCATTTTCATGATATTTATCCTTCCTAACCACGAGCATGAAATATTTTCCCATCTGTTTGTGTCCTCTCTTATTTCCTTGAGCAGCGGTTTGCAGTTCTCCTTGAAGAGGTCCTTTACATCCTTTCTTAGTTGTATTCCTAGGTATTTTATTCTCTTTGTAGCAATTGTGAATGGGAGTTCACTCATGATTTGGCTCCCTGTTTGCCTGTTATTAGTGTATAGGAATGCTTGTGATTTCTGCACATTGATTTTGTATCCTGAGATTTTGCTGAAGTCGCTTATCAGCTTAAGGAGATTTGGGGCTGAGATGATGGGGTCTTCTAAACGTACAATCATGTAGTCTGCAAATAGAGACAATTTGACTTCCTCTTTTCCTAATTGAATACTTTTCATTTCTTTTTCTTACCTGATTGCTCTGGCTAGAACTTCCAATACTGTATTGAATAGGAGTGGTAAGAGAAGCCATCCTTGTCTAGTGCCAGTTTTCAAAAGGAATGCTTCCAGTTTTTGCCCATTCAGTATGATATTGGCGGTTTGTCGTAAATAGCTTTTATTATTTTGAGATACAGTCCATGATACCCAGTTTATTGAAGGTTTTTACCGTAAAGGGCTGTTGAATTTTGTTGAAGGCCTTCTCTGCATCTATTGAGATAATCATGTGGTTTTGTCTTTGGTTCTGTTTATGTGATGGATTACGTTTATAGAGTTGCATATGTTGAACCAGTCTGGCATCCCTGGGATGAAGGTTACTTGATCATGATGGATAAGCTTTTTTTTTTTTTTT